GTGTGTGTGTGTGTGTGTGTGTGTGTGTGTGTGTGTGTGTGTGTGTGAAAGCGGAATATTGGTACTGAGGGAGGTGAATCCAGTTTTATGGTCAGATGGTTACACTGAGACCCAAAAAGTGAATGGGGGTACCCAAGGTCACAAAGCAAGTGGGTGCCCTATGTTCTAGTTTGGAAGCACTGGTCCAACTTCCATTCAAGAGGGGCTAGTAAAACCACAGCTGAGTGATATGAACTAGACAGAACAGGAGTGAGCACAGGACAGTTTTCCTGGTGATGGAGCACAAGTTGCCACCAATTATGGTGTTAAAGAAAAATGGCAAAGAGGGCTGCAGAAGCCTGCAGCAGGGCACCCTCTCTGGGCACTCTCTTCTTTATAGATTCTTACAATAGTGCTATGAGATGTGATGATTCCCCCATTTCAAGGATCAGTCTGAACCCCCAAAAGAGTGAAAAAGATGCACCGAGGTTTACCGCCATGACCCCATCAGTATGCTACAAAAACTATCCTTGCCTCATGGACTGTGTTCTACTGTTCTTTCTGCCTTGGGAAGCACCAGGGGAGGCAGATTTCCCAAACTGGAACCCTCCCGGACTTCCCACTGCAGATAAGGAGGCCATTTCACCAGCTCCCCTTGCCGGTTTCTACAGCCATGGGGGCCCTGGCAGGATGATCAGCCAGTGTGGGCAGGCAGGGAGTCAGGCTTAGCCTTTTGTCCCCAGGGGCTGACTGGGGACACGTCAGGCCACCATGAGCTGAATCTCAGCCCTAAGCTCAACGCTGGACTTGTGGCTCGTTAATTTAAGGAGTCCTAGAGCAAGAAAAGAGTCCTCACCTGCCCACAAGAGTTAAGAGTGATGCTAAGGTCCGGAAAGGTGGCACAGCTGGGGCAGGCATGCTGACTCCAGTCCTCTTCTCTCACCTCACTGCACATGGCTTTCCCTGGCAGGCTTGATGGCGCCTGGTTGGCTGCAGCACCGCCATGCTCAGGTTGGCAGACATCTGCCTTCTGAGATGGCAGGATTCTGGGCAACTCATTGGATAGTCAGGGGTCCCACAGGCATCCTGGCAGGCAGCAGAATTCTTTCCAGCCCTGCCCCAGTGGACAGGTTTAAGCCTGAGACCTGGCAAGATTTTGGAACTGTGTTTCACAGGGTCCTGCCAGCCCCATGGGCACCATACTATAAACTGAACTTGACCTCGATCAGGACTGGAGTCAGTTTATCCTTGGGGGGAAAAAGTGACTTCCTATTGCAGAACGGGAAGGGGCTTAACTGACTTTTAAAGCAGGCTCAGAAGTTAGACATCAAACGGATCGTGCAGAGCGCTATTGGGATGAGATAAGTGTAAAGGAATTGGAAACACACAGGCCAGATTCCCCTGTTTGGAGCAGGGTATGGCATGAGATGTATGGAGATCAAGCTTGAGGTTAATTAAAGATGAAGCATTTGGGGAAACAGTCCAGGCACCTGACCGTGTGCCCAGACCTGTGCCAGGCGTGGGGCCAAGATGGTGAATTAATGCAGCATGTAATTGCTGTGAAAGCCCAGTGCCAGGGTTACACACACGGGATGAATTGTACCCACCCTTCTGGGCCCAGAAGACAAGTGAGGCCATCCCGAGTTACCGCTGACCCGGCCCCAACATCAGGCTGCTTGTCTTTCAAGACCCCTTTTCAAGGGAGATTGGAAGGGAAGAAAGTGTTTTAAACTCTCTTCCTCAGCCACACTTTAAAGTCTTTAAAGACAGATGTCTGTAATAACTGTACTTGGGAGCCTAAGGCAAAAATCATCCTAAGTTTGTGACCCAGACTGGAATATATAGTGCATTTCTACAATAGCTTGAGCTACATAGCCAGACCCTATATGGGAAAAAAAAAAAAGGAAGAAAGAAGAGAGGGAGGGAGGGAGGAGGGAAGGGAGGACAGATCAACAAATTTCCAGGTTGGTGTGGGCTTAGAAAAGACAGCCATTGTTGGTCAGACATCTAAAGTCAAAGTTTCCTGGCCTCTGGAGATCTCTGTCAAGCCAGGGTTTGACCTAGTAGCAAACTCAACTTGCTGGCCTACATCCTAGGAGACCTTGGGCACAAAAATAGAATATATGGCTGTGCCACTTAAACTTCTCATCCTGCATCAGCTGTTTCTCAGATTCATGTTCTGTCTAGCTAGACTCATAAAATGCAGAGCCCTGTTCCCTTGAGAGTCCCATGAGTACTTTTAGGGCCTTCATGTTGACTTTGAGGCAGACAGAAAGATGGAAGGCCTGAAGCCCACCAGATCAAGTGACCTGCACGTGGTGAGGGTAGAAAGAATCAGGAGGTGCAAGTGCCAGTCCCCGGGGTCAAAGCTACTGAGTCTGCAATGGGTGGACAGAGGGTGACTCAAAACAGTTGTCTTGTGCTAAAAAAACTGAAGCACAGGCCCCTCACATGGATCGCTGTCACCTGCTACTTCCTGGCCTCATCTAGACTTGAGCCAGCCTGGGAGCTTACCCACCACTCAGCCCAGAAGAAAACTGCTACCAAAAGAGTTTCTTTAGAAAGATAGTCTACACAGCAGCTGTAGCTTTGATAACATTCTAGGTGGGAAAACAAAACAAAACAAAAAACCAAAAAGCCTGATAACCCTGAGATAAACAGCAGGCCCTGTACTTGGCGTTCGAGACCCTCCATGACCCTGCTCTCACCTTTCTGGTCATGCCCCGTCCCTCCCACCCCGGGCCTGACAGACTGAATCATATTTGTTATTTCTGGAATAGACACTTGCTGCTCCCCAGGGGAAGCTCTCTTGCCTTCCCCCAGCCATTTATCCTGTGAGGATAACCCAGGTGGCACTTGCTCCAGGATGACCCCATAGAACCCTTTGTGCATTCCCAGTACCCATCACCATGCCGACATTCCAGAGTTAGGGCTGTTTAGCTATGACTTTGCTCCCTGTTGGGAATAACGAGCAACTTGGTTGGGGTGGGTCAATTGTCAATTTGTTGTTGCTGCTGTTTTTATGTCCTTCAGCATAAAGGTGATGCTCTGTAGCTACACTGAAGGGACACCGGAGGAAAGGGACAGAGCAGAGAGGAAGAAGAGGGTGGAGCTAGGAAGGACTAAAGACAGCTTTGGCTCTCTGTTTGGGACAACTCCCACCTCCCTGGCTGGTAAAGGACAGCACCTGAGCACAGGGCTCTCCTCAGCTGGAGGTAGAGGCATAGTATGCAGGGCGCCAACGCCCACTGGCTAAAGATGTGGTAGCCAGCTGGAAGTCTTGGCAAAGGACTGGTGTAAATGACATAAAGGTGCCCCATGGCGCTGTTCTTTAAACATTGATATTTTTCCAAAAATTCATCTAGGCGGCCAAAAATATCACCCTGGCTGGCTGTCTAAGCCAGTAGATTCAGTACTCAGTCAAGCCTCCCTACGCCCCTCCCCCATTCTTCCACAGCACAGCCAGGCTTGCCATTAACTGGCCAAAAAGAAAAAGAAAATAAGAAAGAGAAAGAAAGAAAGAAAGAAAGAAAGAAAGAAAGAAAGAAAGAAAGAAAGAAAGAAAGAAAGAAAGAAAGAAAGAAAAACCTCCTGCTGCCTTTGGGCAGGGGACCTCCATCCCAGAGGCACTGCTTTGTGCCTAACCCTGGGGAAAGGAAGTCGGGGCTTATAAGGGCCCTTGGGACCTTCCTGGCCCTTTCCAGGGAATGTCAGCTCCTTACCTCCTTTCTCCAAAGGCAGATGGGGATCTTCCCCTCTTGAGGTGGCCTGAATCTTACCTTTGCTTGCTGACCTTGGACTAGCCCCTGCCCCTCTTTGAGCCTCTATTTCTTCATGGACCACAGAGAGAGTTTCCTGGGTCCAGGAGGGAAATTTTGTGTATAATCTTGGGTCTCTTTGAAGGTGAGGTTCCACCCTTCTCAAGCCCAGGTTTCCAGGTAGCCCTCGAATCCCCCCACAGGCCACCATGATGGGAGCACGTGACAGACAAAAAAGTATGACTTAAAGGCTCCCTCCATTCTAAGACCTGCCTTTGGGGATATGGTTTTGAACGAGATCCAAGTCTAAGGTTCCTGGTGTAAGAGACCAAAGACACTTAGACTGGAGTCTGTCTGGTTGCCAAGCTGGGTGAGTGTGGCCCTTGGCTAAAGAAGGGGAGGCCAGCCTTAGCATTTGCGAAGTTCTGAGTCTCAGATTTGTTGGATATTTTACTGTGCCTCACTGTACCAAGCTGGCTTCGGCTCTCACCATATTTGTGATGTTCTTTGTCACCTCTTCCCTCACCCCAGCCCCCTTGAATTGTCATGAAGAGTTCTTTAAGAGTATAATAGAAGACAAAGAAAGATACTATTAATGTTATTTTGCCAAAAATATTTTTGTAGCATAATATATTAATAAAAGATATTATGAACTTGACCCTGGTGTTTCTATTTACTTCTCCCTTGTCCTTCTACAGGGAATGTTTCGGGAATTACCTGGCTAGCGAGGGCCAGGGCTCAGCACAGTGCGGCACAGGGAATTCGAATGACCCCATTTTCCATGCACAGATTTGGGTGTGGGCTGAACAGGTGGCTTGAGCAGGGACCTTGTAAGTGCAGAGGACCGGCACCAAGGGAGGTGTATGTGACCCTTGCCAGGCAGAGGGAGCTGCCCCTGGCTTTGGAGCAAGAGTTACGCAGCTGTGTTGCACACCACTGGGACCCGGGCTTTGCTGGAGGAGCCTTCCTTCTGCTGGTTTCCTCTCTCACCAGGGTTTGTTGCTGCTTGTTATTACTTGCCCCACCTCTCCTTGGCTCAGGCTCACTGGGAAATGGCTGCCAGCCACACCCATGTCCCTTTAGTCTACTCTCTCCCCTGCAGCCGGAGTGAGCTCTGCAAATCATAAAAATGACCCTGTCTCTCCCCGCTTTGGACACTCTTCAATGCCTCCCCAGTTTTGTTGGCAAAAGACATCCAAGGCCCCCTAAGAGCCAGCCCCTACTTATGTTTCCAGCAAGAAAA